ATTCTAAGTTAATTAATTTTCACAAGAGAGATTACTTTGGTAACATGTTGCTTCAATTAATTCACTTTCGAATATTATACCTCTCAAAAGAGTCATTTATACCAAAATTTGAAAAAGAAAATCATTGAATTTCCATATTTAATTTATTTTGAAACTTTAGGGGCCTAAGGGTTAACAATCCAAAACTTTAGGGATCAAAAATTAATTATCCAAAAGTTTAGGGACCAATTTAAACAAATTATAAACTTTAGGGGTTGAATTATAAAATTCAGAACTTCAATGGCCAAAATTAATTAATTTTCAAACTTCAGGGACTGGATTATTAAACCCGGAACTTTAAATGCCCAGTTTGGATGAATTTTAACATTGAGGAGTTGAATTATTAAAGTTTTAAACTTAAGGGGCTTAATTATTAAAGTTTGAAACTTAAGGGGCTAAATTATTTAAAATAGATTTAAAATATTGCAAACCTAACCTAATGTGATCCATGATACGAGGGTAAATCCGGGCAAAGATCCGTTGATCATTAAGAAAGGACCAATGACTAGGTCACGGACGAAACAGGTCAAAGAAGCAATGAGATTACTTGCTCAACGGTGGACGAAACAATGATTACGGCAAGCAAAGAGACAAGTTTTATGTTGGGCATGAGAGATAAAACGAAGTGGAGTAACTTGATTCAAGCAATGGACAGAAAGGCTGAAAGGAACAACTATGAGACCGCATAATTGTTCAGGGCATGGTCGCATGCCACTTTACCGAGCCCAAAGGTGAGGGCTCTATTGATCTATGCGACCATATAGAATTACTCTATGCGACCGCATAGTGTATTTTCGGCAGCGAATTTTTCAAGTTTTCACGTAATTTTCTATTTTAGTTAAGAGTCTTGTATGGTATCTTTTTTATATCTTTAAGACTTAAATTCCGTTTTTAACTAGGTTTTATGGGTTCCCTATATATAGGACTCATTATATTCATTGTAAACAGGCAATTATTGAGATATTATAGCGAGGCTAAGGGGCTGTTCTCTTTGGCCGTTTTGGGTCGTTTTCTGTTTTCGATTTTTCAAAACAATGAAAACGCGTTCTCTTTTTCATTTTCGAAAACGCATTTTTGAAAACGAAAAAAAATTTGTACACAAAACGAAAAAAACA